CTGAGTGTGTGTGTGTGTGTGTGTGTGTGTGTAAGTGTGAGAGAGAGAGACCTGAGCGTGTGTGTGTGTGTGTGTGTGTGAGAGACCTGAGCGTGAGGATGTCTGCTGAGGATGAGGAGCAGCGTGTGAGTGCAGAGGAGCTGAGACAGCGACTGTACCGCAGTTTTAAACAGAAGGGAGTCCTGGATGCTGTGAAGGTCAGTGTTTCAGCTGAAATCATTACATTCTGACTTCAGCTCCAAAACGTCTCTAAATCCTTTACATCACAAAATAAATAAAAGAAGTTAATCAGGACGGATCTCTCCTAAAGTCACAGGATTTACTCCAGATCATCGCCGCTCCCTCTAAACTGCTGCAGTCTCTGGGCTTTTAACTGCAGTCCTGTATAAACAGTAACATTAATCATGAAATCATGAAATAACAGATGACCTCCTGGACTCGTTTTTCTTCCAGACCCAGCTCAGGAATCAGCTGATCGTGGAGCTTCAGCGTGAATCGCTTCCTCGGGCGTCTTCTGAAAAATCCCCCTCGCTCCTGGTGCTCGCCTCCGACAGCCTGGTGATCGATCACCTGCAGCGCTCGGGCTATGAATACACGCTGTCCGTCTTCTACCCCGAGTGCGGCATCAGCAAGGAGAAGGTGCGCGTTAGACGCCGTCTGTTCCAGGAGAGTTGAAATAAATGAAATTTGGCGTGCATACGGTCCCGGGATAATAGTTTACTCATGCAGAACTTCATATTTGCACGCCTACTGTATATCTCTAAACCTAGTTTCATCCGAATGATAATATACAGTGATAATATTCCACACGCGACGTAATCCAAGCTATAAGAGAGAATATAGAGGTATGCGGTGTAGAGAATCTTCTACAGTTTTTCAGAACGCTAGTTGTGAGCAGTAAGATGGATGATGGATTTCTTACACTTGAACTCTTATAACTTAAGAGTAGAAGCAAGAGCTGGTGTCCACAACTTCAGCAGAACTTTACAGAGCTTCTGTAACCAGAACCAGCTTCTTCTAATGCAGCAGGTTTCAGTTCTCTGTCTACAATATTGATCTTTCTGTCAGCATCTGTAAAGGGCTTCAGAGTGACGTTTTTGTGCAAATGTTGCATTTTCAGCCATTATGAAGAGGCTTTATGGAAGGTTTATAGAGGTTTTAGCGGCCTTACTGAGGTTATAGGGGGTTTATAAATGCTTTGTAGGGATTATAGAATATTTATAGAGCGCTTAGGGGCTTTATAGAGTGTATAGAGGCTTAATAGAGTGTATAGAGGCTTAATAGAGTGTATAGAGGCTTAATAGAGTGTATAGAGGCTTAATAGAGTGTATAGAGGCTTAATAGAGTGTATAGAGGCTTAATAGAGTGTATAGAGGCTTTATAGGGTGTATAGAGGCTTTATAGAGTGTACTGAATCTTTATAGGGATTGTAGAGGCTTTATAGGTTTTATAGAGTGTATAAACGCTTTATGGAGTGTGTAGAGGCTTTATAGGGATTATAGAATGTATAGAGGCTTTATAGGGATTATAGAGCCTTTATAGAGTGTATAGAGACTTTATAGGGTTTATAAAGTGTATAGAGGTTTTATAGGGATTATAGAGGCTTTATAGAGTGTATAGAGGCTTTATAGGGGTTATAGAGGCTTTATAGGGATTATAGAGGCTTTATAGAGTGTATAGAGGCTTTATAGGGATTACAGAGGCTTTATAGAGTGTATAGAGGCTTTATAGGGATTATAGAGGCTTTATAGAGTGTATAGAGGCTTTATAGGGATTATAGAGGCTTAATAGAGTGTATAGAGGCTTAATAGAGTGTATAGAGGCTTTATAGGGTGTATAGAGGCTTTATAGAGTGTACTGAATCTTTATAGGGATTGTAGAGGCTTTATAGGTTTTATAGAGTGTATAAACGCTTTATGGAGTGTGTAGAGGCTTTATAGGGATTATAGAATGTATAGAGCCTTTATAGGGTGTGTAGAGGCTTTATAGGGATTATAGAGCCTTTATAGAGTGTATAGAGACTTTATAGGGTTTATAAAGTGTATAGAGGTTTTATAGGGATTATAGAGGCTTTATAGAGTGTATAGAGGCTTTATAGGGATTATAGAGGCTTTATAGAGTGTATAGAGGCTTTATAGGGATTACAGAGGCTTTATAGAGTGTATAGAGGCTTTATAGAGTGTATAGAGGCTTTATAGGGATTA